GGGGAATTAGATGATAAAACCAGATAGACGGACGTGAAGAGAAAATGTGATTAAGAGCAAATACGCTTCGTTTCCCTCGCTCGCTGCCTTCGTGACCGCGGCGGCTGTTTGTTTAGGGAGGTTTTAACTGTTTTTTTGTTCTGCAGCGTTGTTGAAGCCACAGCCAGAAATTTATATTTTAATGATGACATTGGGAGACTCACACACACACACACACACATGCACACACACACACACACACACACAAGGAGCTGGAAAGAAATACAAACTGATAAAATAGTCAGGAAGGACCAAGTTCTCAGCTTTGAGCTCATTATACTTGCTGTGTATCTTGCAGAAGTTGAGAAGTGCATGTCATGAATTTTCAATATGTGCTCAGGCTTCTCTTTTGCTCCTCTTGTTTCTCTCTGGTGCATTCAGTGGAGGTAGTCCAGGATCAGTGCGGTGCCACAGCTCCCCCATGTGGATACAGGTAGGTATTACACCAAGAAGACAGGGCCTGAATCAGATCTTTTTTTTTTTTTTAAATCTTACACATTCCTCTTCTATTTCTCTTACCTTCATCCTCTCTGCTATTTACTACAAGTTTCACTGTTTACGGTTTGTAAAAATGCATCACATCAGCGTGCATGATTGCAGGTTTCGCCCCCAAGCAAACACGGTGCACAACATCCATCCATCCATCCATTATCTATACACCTTAATCCTCACTAGGGTCATGGGGGGCTGGAGTCTATCCCAGCTGACTCAGGGTGAAAGCAGGAGACACCTGGACAGGTCACCAGTCTATCACAGGCTACACTTAGAGACAGACAACCAAGCACACTCACATTCACACCTACGGACAATTTAGAATCACCAATTAACCTCAACATGTTTTTGGACTGTGTGGGAGGAACCCAGAGAGACACGGGGAGAACATACAAACGCCACGCAGAAAGATCCCGGGTGTCCTCACCGGGACGCAAACTGGCAACCTTCTTGCTGCGAGGCAACAGTGCTACCAACTGCGCCACCTCGCAGCCCCCGGTGCACAACAGTACATTTGTATTCCAAATCTGAGGCAGACACTTTATATTATCTATAAAATGTTTTGAATGGTGCTTGTAACTGAGGCGTCAGAACTATTGCCACAGAATTTGCACCAGAGTTTATTTAAAACTAAAGTATATGGGATTGTTTTTCGTCTATTAGAGAAGTAACATAACTAAACTTTGAATGAATACTTTTCATGCTCTGCTTTTAAATACAGTCCTGACTTTGTAGCTAAAGGACCAATGCTTGATTTTAACGACACCTCCAGTGAAGATCATGGTTTTTTTTGTTTTTTTTTAACCTTATTAGCATGTCCATGGTGGTCTATGGTGTTTTTATATACTCTGGAAGAGATATCATGAGCAAAATAAGGAATTAAAGCCCCTCCTGAGCATTTCTACCTGCAGCGTACTGACAACAGTGTCAGATAAACAGATTCAGACTTTCAGGGCTTCATACGTAACAAATGTTGGGGATCAATTCCATAAACCTGCAGAGTGTTTTTTATTTTTTTCATAATGAGTTTGTGGGTTAAACTTGTACGACTGAATCACAATATTACAAATTGTGTGTTGTTGAGTAGTTTTATAGTGTTAAGCAGAGATGGAGGTGAGCTGGTGTGCTCGAGCTGCAGCGAATACACAACATTACAGAGTGACACTTGAACCATTTTAAGTGATTATTTTTGTGAGAAAAAAACTTCTAAATACGTAACTTTGCTGCACAGAAGTGGGTTTTTAGGGTTTAATAAAAGACTAAAGAGACACTTTAATGATCACTGATGACTATTTCAAGTCTTTATCATGTGATTCGTCTTTAAGGGAGTGAGGCTTTATGAAGACAGTCGACTAATGTGGATTATTCAAAGGCCTTTACTGAGGCACTTAGCTTCCCATTTTCAAAGCAAATGCTGCTTTCTTTTAAACATCAAGCTGCACAAATCAGAGTTTATGTTAATGCTAAATAAAATGACCAATGTGAAAGGAGTCTCTCTACAATTTATATTGATTTGATGTCCAACATTAATTGACAAAAAGCGACTCTCGGAGGTGATTTGTGACATTTCACAATGTGGGGGTTTTCTGCCTCCTTGTGGCTGAAAATTAATTCTCACACCCTCAAAATAAAACACTTGTTAAGCCAGAAGAAAAACACAGAATTCTAAAAACACGATTCTGTGCTGGTGGTGGCTCATTAAAGACAGAAGACACAAATCAATAACGTTAACAAAGATTTCTCTCCAGTCTGTGAAGTGAGCAGCGACCATGACAGCCTCTGGTTTTATCACATTACACATTACTGATGAGTAAAACATTAATGAATTAATAAATCATAGTCACACAGTCACCAATTAGTGCTGAGTAATAAGAGGTAGTGGTTTCCTAATTGGATTTTCCTCATTAGAAAACATTTGACCATAAAGAGGACCGAGGTGGTCCTTGATTCTTTTAGTATGCGGTTAATTTGGACACTAATTATACTTTCCATTCAAATTCTGTCTAAATGTTTTTTCTTTTGTCTGATTTAGGAGCCAGTAGCGGAGCAGCACGGGTTGGCCTTGGCTCTCGGTTGTCAGCGGCCCCAGAAGGAAGCGGCGTTTAAAAAACCTTTCTTTGATTCAGAATATATTCATGTGGTCATTTCACTAATGGCCCAAACATGCTGATGCTGTTCACAGAGCGCTGCTTCATCACACAGAGTTGGAGCACATGTACAGCACAGAGGTGTGTCCTTGAAGCGACTATAAAAAGGTAAAGGACAACGTGGAGCCTCACAGGAGCCATAAAGAATCTGAAACATCATAGCTGGCTGATGGCCACGTTTGAAGCAAGGTGGTTTTAACATCACTGTTTGTTCTGTTCCAATAAATACTGCTTCCAAAACGGAGAACAAATGAAGCAGAACAGTTGACATAGTAATCCTCTGAACTCCAACAAAAAGTTTCTGGGGAGTTTTTTGTCACATTTTTTGCTCACTGTGGGCTTTTTACTGCTATATAAAGGGGCTGCAAGGTGGCTCGGTGGTTAGCACTGCTGCCTCGCAGCTAGAAGGTCGCCGATTCACGTCCTAGTTCGCGACACCCGACATTCCTTCAATCATTAAAAAAATTAATTCAATTTCTCTGATTACTATGATTTAAAAAAATGGTGGTGGCTTTACAAACTATAGATTTTTTTTTTTAATTTTTGGAAACAGAACTGTGACCTCTATCCTAAACTGGCATCAGCAGCCAAGTACTGCCTCTGCGTTCCAGCCCCGGGGTGGAAGTGTCCCCCGACCGCGCCAAATGTTCGGATATTCATCATCAATTGGGCCTGAATATCCAGAGACCAGGAAGTACTATTCAGACCAGCCCTACTAGTTATTATAACAACTATAAACAACAACAAATGAGCCATCAAGCATCAAGCCCTCCTTGTATTTCGACCTCCGTCTTGACAATCCGACAGCCTTGCTATCCGACATGAAAGAAGGTTTTACATTTAGTGTCGGATTATCGAGTCACGACTGTACCTACATTTTCAACTTGTTTCGTCTTGTTATGAAACAAGACGCTCAATCCAGCCTTAGCATTCTAGCATTTATGATTTACCGTGCTTCTGTTGAACATAAGCCATTTAGGGTGTGTTTGATGTGGGCCGGTGCCTTTTTTTTTTTTAAACCCATGTTATGCTAATTCTACCCACCGTTCATTTCACAGTATCGTTGTGCATTTTTACAGCTTGGATCTCTCAGCTTGTTGTTTAATGTTCTGCAGCGTTACTGCTCTCGTCAAGCTTGTTTATAGGAGATGTTTGCAATAAAAAAGCTCAGATAAATCCATGATACACTACCTGTCCAGCACTGAGGGACAAAGACACAGTGTTAGAAGCATGTTGGACCATTGAGCAGCTAAAGTTGCGTAGTATTCTAAAAGTGTTGTTGAAGGGAAGGTAAGAATTAAAGAGCCACTGTGTGGGACTTAAACACATCTAGTGGTGAAGTGACAGATTGCAACCAACTGAAACGCTACAAGTACGTAGGAGTTATTCTCGTAGTTTAATCCTAACAACTGGACTTGCTTGAGTTTCTTGAAGACGTTTCACCTCTCGTCCAAGAGGCTTCATCAGGTCTGACTGACCAGTTGGAAGTTCCAGATACTTCTATCTACTTGAAGTCTCAAGTATCTCAAGTGTCAATGGAAACTCAAGCAAGTCCAGTTGCTACGATTAAACTACGAGAACAACCATGACCTGGATGACTGAGAACCTTCACAGACAAGCATGTAAAGAAAAAGCCAGTTCAATGCATAAAAGCTCCGATCTGGAGCCAGTGTTTGGTTTAAAAGACTCGTTCTAAGCGAAACAACTTGTTCCGTTTTTGTCCTTTTGAATGTTAAGGCGCACCAATTAAAACTCAGCTATGAGTCTTTCATCGAGCTATCTTTGATAATAGATCCTGTAAATCCTACACTTTCAGGTCAATTGGTCAGAAACAGGACTTCAACTGAATGTCTGGCTTTGTCTCCCGGATGCATTGAATGGCTTTTGTGTGAAAACTCAACAGAATATTGCTTGAATATTCTGGTAATAATGTGTAGAATAGAATGTTTTTATGCTTTACAAAAAAAGTGGCACAGGTCAGAGGAAATATCTATTCTATAGCCACACTGAATGAAGCATTGAGAGCAGGCAACACAATATGTAAAGCTGAAGGAAAAGTTTCTAAAGCTCCAGACAGAAAAGAAACTCTGAGGAAGGTTTACAAATGACGGTGGTACAAAGTTTGACAGCCATCAACGGGGAACATTTCTTCAATCGCTGAAAACAACCACACAACTATAAAGTTACCTTTCAGGATGCTGCTAATGAGAATTTTTTTTGAAAAAGCTCGTACTTGCCTTCACGCTTCACAAGAACCCTTCGTCTAGCTTTTACATTTTCCGCCCTGCAAAATTAAAGGGGGAAAAAAAATCAGTCGCAGCTAACGGAGGAAGATCAACCTTTATTTATTGAAACCGCTTGCATACAAAATATATTGCACTATAACCAGACATGTCAACCCAAACATCTTAAATGCTAGTAGTATGTACAAAAGAAAACAAAAAATAAAATGCCCAAAAGTGCACACAAGGTTTTACAGCTTTTTTGACTACCCTGGTTTAAGTATCTACAGATTCTCTGCGTGTCTTCACTTTCTGGCACTCTATTGTCGAACAGCCCACAATGTGTATAGTTAGTATTCGTTGATATTATATACATTCTGCAAAAACAAAAAAAAGGTCTGCTGATGTCTGCTGTGGACTGGTGAGCAACGACAACAAGAACTTTTGGGTCATCTTTTCTGATGAACCATCCTGCAACCCCGACGTGACTAAATGCTTCGAGAAAGAGGGATGCAAAACGGTCCAGTGCTTATTGGATTGGGACTCCCCGACGATTCTTTCTGCGCTATCGTCGTGTTTGGAGAGCACGTCTTCAGGTACGTCAAGTCAAAAATCAAGGTTTGTGGACGAGGTTGGGTCCGGACTTTTCTAAGATAACACTGAGTTGTTATTTGAAGAACTGGTTAAATCGGTCATCGGAACTGTCTGGCAAACGCACATTTAAACATTTCCTCCAGAACATTAGAGCAGCATGTCGGTCAGGACAAACATTACAGTCGAATATCAATAAAACGCAGCTACCATCTCGCAGCTAGAAGGAAAACACCATCGACAGAGCAACGTTTTGTGAGAATAAAACCCTTCAACTATGTTTTATATTCTCACAACCTTAAATTACGCTGCCGCCAGTCGGGATTTTCACTCCATTTTAACAGTCCATTCACAATAAAGAAGACGACCGCGAATTTCTCGAGCAGAAAGTCAGACAAACCTCAAGTTCAATCCAAATATTTCTGTTCCAATGTACTGGGGAGTCGCAAAAACAGAAGCTGCATCCAAAGAACAGCACATCTTCAAAACATGGTGCCATTTGGGATCCCCTTCTATAAACAATAGAAGGTACCCCATATGACTCCTTGTACTGCCAGGATTAATCAAAATGTGCACCGTTTCTTGTCTTAAACTTTGGTTTGGGATCCCAAATGGTTCCCAAACCTGCTTCTAAAGAAACGTTTCCAACCCTATTTCCTTCCAGTGTTCCCCAACGGCGAGATACCAGACAGAGATGCTAGGACGCCTTATTTTTCTGCCATGATCGCGACGGTGCTCGTCTTAAAGTCGGTCGTTTCCATGGCAGGTCACTAGAAAACAGCAGAAGTGGGTAACAATGTCACAACCAGTAAGTTATAGGAGATTCGCAAGTAAATGCTTCCTTAGCACCATTTCTTCAGTGACCCCAACTGGTCAGCATGCAACAGTCCTCTCTTATCTGTTTTTTAAAAAATGTACATTTACCGTTATAGTACAAGCCTTGGCTCAGCGTTACGGTTTGTCCGTAACGCCCCCCTGAAAATCCAACCAAAGCATGAAAAAGCCATTATTTTCGTCCAAACTTCGGTTTCTTTGCCACCATCTACTCTGAACCTGGTGTTAGGAGGCACAATAAGAAACACCGACAAGCAGGTTGAAGCACAGCCGTAAGAGTTTCATCATCTGTGGCGTGACACAACAGAGCCGATGTGAACGTAGGACCTTCGTAGACTCTTCTGGAGCCTCAAAGTCTTGTTATTACCTCCCAAATGCATGTACAAGGTTTGTTTCTGTCAGTTCAAGGGTAACTGGCGTTTGGGAGCAAAGTCTCGCCTCCAGCACCGTCCTGTCTCAACCTTGTCAAAGAAAAAAAAAAAACTTTATACCAGTCATAAAGAAAAGAAGAATAATAAGAGGTTAAGGGAATCTAAATGAAACACCTATTAATCATCACTGTGGTGACTCACAAACAGAAGCTGGGTTAAAATGATTCGGGTCTTTGTACACGACGAGTTCAGGAACCAATGTGCCAGACGAGTTTACCGGCTTCAAATTAAAGGGAAACTCCACCGTAGAATATTACTCACAAAGGTTACTTCAGTTACTGTAGGAGGCAAACTTATCCCAAAGCTGGTACATGCGAGAAGATAGACCAATATGTTTGTTTCTTTTGCTGGAGGCAGCTAGCTTAGCTTAGCAAAAAGACTGACGGTAGGACAACAGCTAGCGTGGCTAACGGTCAAGTCTGATGTTGTATAAACACCTAAAAGCAATAATTACCACACCTTTTTTTTTTATATTTTAGTTTTTGAAGATTAAAAAAACAAGCGTAAGAGGTGTTGTAGGTGTATTTTTAAACTTTAGACACAGCTAGCGCTGTGTTTTCAGTTTTTAAGCGAAGCTAAGCTAGCTGTCTCCCAGCTGTTAGCGCACAGACACGAGCTTAAAATTGGTTTCTCTTGTGAAATTTGAGCACATTTCTCAAATTATCTTTCGTAAACTTTACCTACACACAATAATTTGGTGGGTTTCGGCTTAAAATAACGCTCCACCCAAACTCTGACATAAAAACATTTCAACTACAAGTCCTTTTGCTAGCTTATTTTCTGAGCTATGTTTTTTTTTTTTTTTTTTCGCTGTTTATTCCTCAACATGACCACAAAAAAAAAAACTTCTTTTTACAGTTTTACGCAGCAAGTAAGAAAACTTCATGAGCCGAGGAAGACCATGAGATATAGTTGACAACCCATGAAAAGTCAAAGGTCACACATTGTTAAGCAAAAAGCAATAAATGGGCTAAAGATGGCTGGGCCTCTGTAAGATTTCACAGCAACAGAAAATATCCACAAAAAAACTGCATCTGTGGATATTATAAAATATATTATTATATTAGAACCAAACTTATTATAAGGTGTAATAAATAACATATTTTGGATGGACTATCACTTTAAGCCCCGGTGCATATATCGGATGCATTTCATCGCTAAATGATATTAACCAGAAAACCAAAAGATCTAAATTCAGTCAGAATTCGGTTTCAGTGACTCATTCAGGTCGGGGTGGATTTTCCCTGTCAGGTAAACAAACTCACCCTTCTTGTTATTTTTCAAGTTCTGCAGCACTATGGACATCTCATTACCACTGACAGCTGTGTGGGACTCAGTCCTGCTATGGAGGATGCTATTTTTCCACACATCTTTAAGTTTATTATCAAGAGCTCTAGCATTTTTAACTAATATTAAACAGCAAAAAAAATAAAATAAAAAGAAAGAAAAGATCAGGATAAGTGCACATTGGAAACAATAGTACAAATCTTTTCTCAGACAAATAATGACATCATTATATACATTATGCCGCCCTCCCTCCCTTCTGTTTTTTTTTTGTTTTTCCATTGTGTTTTTTTTTTTTACAATACAAAGCAACTCCATACTGTTGATGCTCTATTGACAATATAGAGGTTACCGTCACTTGTTTGTCGATGCACTGCACAGAATGATAAATAAATCAGGCTGCAGTGGGAACAGCAAGTGAAAGCAAAAGGTCCTAACAGGTTAGTGATAGAGAAAGTTGACACCCATAATACTTTTTGGAAAAAAAAAAAGAAGAAAAAAACAGCCTGTAATGCGATTCCTTACTCTGTGACGTGTCCTAAAAGGTGAAAGTTCGTCGCTGACTCTAAGGTGACGTTCATCAGCTCATCACTGACCCAAATCAAGTCAAATGAGACGAAGTAACACTGATTTAAAAAAAAACAAACTTATAGGCGTCTTTTCTTTTGTCCAAATCTACTGAATGTCAAAATAAAGACGTACATGCATCGCAAGACTAGAAAAGTACACTGATCTCTGGTAAAGAAAAGACCTGGCTCAACCTCTGCAATCACTTCAGCTGCTTTCACGTCTTGGAGAGGATAAAGAATAAAGTTACGCTGAGTCAGATTAAAAAAAGGGGTGCACACGTGGAGGAATCCCCCCTCTGGAGGTCACGAACTACAAAAGTGACTTCACAGATCAGTTGAACCAGGTCGGGAGCTACAGGCTTGATGTCTGTCCACTGTACAAGGATACAACACCGTCAGTGTGCAAGAAGGAGCAGGCGAGGCGAAGACGGCGGCTTCCTGACGCTGCCGATAAACGCCCGACTTTAGAGGAAGCTCAGAGATGCTCAGCGTTGTCAGTGACGACCCAGGTGGAGCTCGTAGTGTCGCACCAGGAAACCCACTCGTCTTCACCCGTCTGCTCCGTTATCAACGTCTCGTCATCCCTGATTTACATGTCTAGGTTGTGAAACTAGCCACAATTAAAGGCACATGTCACGCAGAATGTGGGTGAGGTTTCCCTGAGCATTCGCAGCAATAATGAATCAGCCTACATCATATTTAAAACTCACAAGCTTTGTTATTGTGTCTAAAAGTTGCTCCAACCTACTGTAAACTTATTTAACAACTAACCGATGACCCTAAATGAAGAAAGTTCTGGTTGACATTTTGGGAAACACGCTTTTTTTTCATTTCCTTGTCAAGACTTAATCAAGACGACCAACACTACATTCATCTCTAATTAGTTTGCCATTAAATGTAGCACAAAGTTTAACTGGATTTTAAAAGAAAACGAGCAAATTGATGTTCATCCACCGTGACTCTGGTGGCGCTCATTTTTCAGTCTGGGACCATTAAACCATCGCAGACAAGGAGGATGCCATCGGTTGGTGTCATTTATAATTATTTTGTTGTTTTTTTTAATGCCATTTTTGCCTATAAAAGGTTTTTAAAAAGACAGTAACAGTGGAGAGAGAGCAGGAGAATACAGTAAAGGTTCAGTTAGACAGGAATCAAACTGGAGGATTCAAATGAATGGTGAGAAACAACATTGAAAACACTTAGAGGTAAACCTAGAAAAGTCAGGCTACCTGGTGGGAGTCTTCAGCTGAGCTAGGCTAAGCTAAGTTAAGCTAAGCTAAGCTAATTGCCCGTTTGCTCTAGCTTCACATTAAGTGTGCACAAACGAGGATATCAATCGTCTTACTGAACCTTTTTCAAGAATGTAATTAAGTGTATTCCTCCAAAATGTCAAAAATATTCCTTTAAAAGCAAACGAAAAGAGAAATTCGTGTTCTAACTTGATTATTCCAGAAGAAGTCCCGTGTTACAGGAACACCAGAATAAAGAAAAGTAAGAATAAAGCTCACATCTAACCTGTTAGTCCAGATACAACACATCTGATGATGAGATGTAATACGGTATTTTAATAAAACGCTGCCTACGAATGCTCAGAGAAACCTTGAGATCCTTTTTTTTTTTTTTTTTTTAAATATTGTTTTACAGTAACTTCCAGGTTTTTACTCTTTTTACTAACCCAAACATCAGCTTCTGTTTCACCATAAATCCACATTTACTCTCTACGCTAGGCCATCTACGTCGCTCTGAATTTAGGACAGTTTGGGAGTTTCTCTCTATTTCAACGACAACAAGCATCTCTCCACACAGAATATCCACCGAGGCGTCAAACACCTCAAGATAAGAGCTTGAAGTCAACGACGCCGTTTGTGTTTCGTCTCGTTCCTTTGTTGTCTTGACGCCTGCGCTGGTTAGACGAGCTCACGTTCAGCTATTTGAAGGCGGGACTGTCAAATCCTCTTTTTTATTTGCGGAGACGAGCGCAGGACCAGAAGACTGGACCTGCTCTTAAGAGGAAAATGCAGAATTTGTAGACGTACGCCTCCGAATCGCACCGTCTACACGGCGTCCTAAACGGATCGGGAGCTGAACAGACGGAGTAGAAGGTTCACAGAAATGGAGGAGCATAAATCCAAGGCACAAAGATAGCAAAGCAGTGCAACGAACCGACAGACTGCAGCTCCATGACTGTGGTTGAGGAAAGGTTTCACTAAACTTAGCAAGTACACAAAGTCGTTCACGCTATCTGTTGTAACTGATTTTTTTTTTTACAACCAGCAAAGGATAAAGCAAAAAAAAAAAATCATAGACAAAATATTTACCAGCTTGGCAATAAGTTGGAAAACCAGGAACCAGAATAAAACTTAGACCAAATTTTTATTTTGTCAAGGTATAAGTAAACACTCCTCTACAGTTATAGTTAAAAGAGGTTTCCTAAAGGCAAAAACAAAAACAAAAAAAAAAACGTTAAATACAAAGATTTTCATAAATTAGAGAAGAACTCAGGTGACAGGAGTTAGCTGCTCTACATGCATCCTGTTTGTCTGAAAGCAACCGTTAACCCCCAAAAATCTGCTCTGGTGAATGTAAGTAGGTGGAAGTAGCCGAAGTAAACTAGTTGACAGCCCTCACTGATGAAAGTCTGGTGTTGGGTGCTGAATCCTGCCGACGGGATAAATGAGGGGTTTTGTGACGCAGGAGGTCCGGTGCAGGTAAAAGACTGCTCTGTGTAGTAAAGGTGTTTGATAAGAAGTGTGATCGAAGCGTTTCTGCTCATCGACAGGCTTCGTTTGTTTTTTTTTTAAAAAGGACAGCAGTTCATGACATGTTGTACCCTGACAGACGCTCTCGGGAGTAGCTGATGTGTCTATATTTGCTTTTTTTAAACATTTTTTTTAACAGTTTATTCGTATCAAAGTGCCTCAGATTTATGTCTCTCCGTTTGTTTGTTTTTTAATTTACGCCTCTGACAGCTGAAGAGACTGGAGGAGGATTACAATATCTAGGCAACAGGTAACGAAACACACACATGACTTCAATGGTAAAAGGATGAGAGCTTGGTTTAGGAGCTGCTCGGAGTTCATTCTGAAACATGGAGGCTTTTTAATTTTCAAAAAAAAAAATCCATAAAGTGCCCTCTACAAACATCTTGTTCCCACAGCGATGCATGTTCCCCACAACTTATCTGGGTGACATTAAAATATCCCTGTATTTTGGAATTTAACAATCTCTATGAAAACGGAGCCAATTCCTCACAAGAGACTCTCTGATCTGCACATTCATCCTACAAATGTGATTCTGTGTTGACTACGAAGCGTTGAAATTTGGAGCTTTACGACCACCAAAAATAAATTCTCAACCAGTGGAAAACACTGAAGCCGCCTCCTGAAACTGTGCTTTCAGATCGTCCCCATTTTCGGTAAAAAATATATGTAAAGTGTGCGGCTGAAGAACAACAGAAGGATGTTTGATCCTGCCTTCCCGAGCAGCTGTAATTCAACCAATGATTTCCTTGATTCTTTCCTTTTTTTTCTTTTCGTCTAAATGGGGCAGTAGGAAGAAAACGTGGGGAAAAAAATGAGAAAAGGAGCACGTTGGGGTTTTTAATGCTTCTTTGAGAGACGAGCTTTAGTCAAATCTCTCCTCTTCTTTTCCTTTTTTTGTCCAAAAAAAAAAAAAAAAAAAAAGTAGTTTTACTCCAGAGAAGAACAGGAGACACAACACCAGTGGAGAACAAACCAGACCAGACCAGCAGATACCCGATCACCTCTGGTCTAAGACGTCACTAAACGCTTCCATGCTGATGGAAATATGTGTATTCTTGTGTTTGACAAAAGACAGAGAGAAAGAAAAAAAAAAAAAGCCAGACTGAGACTCTACGATGGTTTATGATGAGTTGCCTGTGTGTGTGTGTGTGTGTGTGTGTGTGTGTGTGTGTGAGTGTGTGTGTGTGTTTTCTGGATGAGTGTGTGTCTAAATGAGAAGGTCCTCCAGTGGTGCGTCTACGACACTCCGTTCACCAGCGCAGGAGCGTCCTGTTTGTCCTTCTTCATCCCTCGGTCTCTGATGGGTCTCTGATGGTGGTGGCGGTTCTGGCCCTCGCCGCCGGCGTTGATGCCACCCTGGGATGAGGAAGGCCCTCCTCCTCCTCCTCCTCCGCCTCCGCCTCCTCCTCGGCCGCTTGAGGAGTGCTGCACGCTGCGCTCGTTGTTTCCATCCACACGGATCTGTAGGGAAAAGGAAAGAAATTGAGTCTGGGCACCGCGATGTACAGCTACGAGCCTCTTGTACGCTGTGGGATTCTGGGAAATGTTCGGTCCAACAGCAGCGTCCCAGATCACATGACGTGTGAAATGCCCACACTTTAAGTTATAAAGTGACACAGATAGCTGCCTATATTGGCTGCACTGAGTCACGACAGTCCTGTAAACTGTGGCGCGAGTAATTACAGTCTACGTGGACCAGCTGCAGTTTACAGGGCCGTCGTGACTCCGGCTACGTCACACTCAATGCAGAGAAAGAGCATTTACGAGAGGGACAGGCTGGAAAGAAAAGAAAAGGCAGACTCTGTGATCTCCTGCTACAAGATGTGACGCCTCAGAAGTCCAGTGAACAGAGTGTGGGTTCTACTTTATTCAGTGCTAGCTAGCTGGCTGTCTGCAGCTATCAGGCTATCTGTTAACTGAATTGCTACCAAACAGTTACTTCACTAATATGTTTGTAAAGGTGTAATAACATGTTTTAAAATGTTGAATTTCAACTTCTGTGGAAACCCTGAAAAACCTGCTCAAGTGAGATAAACGATTGGCCTGAAGTAACTCATGAGGGGTCAGATCAGGGTTTGTTCATGATTCATGAGTTGATTGTTAACATTTATATTTCACCACAAACACTCCATTGTTCAGACACTCCCTTTACATTTACATTCACAGCAGCTTTTATTTCACATACTCATATAACACTCAGTTATTTCTCATTCACATGTCAGAAACTTCTAGAGTCGTTGTCGATGTCTTCTTCAGACTCAACAACATCATGACAGCAGTTTCTACATGTGATGCCTTTACAGACTCCACAGCCCCAGATGCTGGTGACCCCATTCTTCTGGCAGCTGCAATCTCCACGACAATTACATCTGGTGACCTTCAGTAGCTCCTCAGGAGCCATGGGGTCTCGTGTTGGAACTGGCTCAGACCCATGCACACCTGATGTCCATCCACAGTCACTGGACTTCAGAGACCTGCTCTGTACAAGGATCCAGTCCTGGTCTGCAGAGTGAGTGCTGAGCAGCTGCACCTTCTGCTAGAGGTAGAGTCTCTGGTTTGATCACTCCTGCCGCCGCCTTCCTTGAGAACAAGTTGTACCAAATGTTCTTAAGGAACAACTCTATCTGACAGGTAATAATGATAACACTGCTATTACAAATAATAATGATAATCATCATCATCATCATCATTATTGTCATCATAGTAAATATATTAAAAATAATAAAGGAGGCAGTGATTCAGGCTGGTTCTGTGATCATCCAGCACATTCATCATGGACCAGATACTACACTGGGTGACATTTGGTACAACTTGTTCTCAAGTAAGGCAGCGGCAGGAGTGATCAAACCAGAGACTCTACCTCTAACAGAAGGTAAAGCTGCACAGCATTCACTCTGAGCCTACCTGCAGACCAGGACTGGATCCTTCTGCAGAGCAGGTCTCTGAAGCCCAGTGACTATGGATGGACATTAGGGGTGCATGGGTCTGAGCCAGTTACAACACTGGACCCCATGACTCCTGAGGAGCTACTGAAGTTCACCAGATGTAATTGTCGTGGAGATTACAGCGACCGGCGGTGAAGCTGCCAGAAGAATGGGGTCACGAACATCTGGACCTGAGGAGTTGGGCTGCTGCGTTTTGGACCAGCTGTAGTTTGTGAATGGTCTCTTAATATTCTTGGTTAACTGTTTTCTACATTTTAAAATACTGACCAAAAACCCCTCAGTCTTAGAGGATGAAAGTGTGTTCAGCCTACGATGCACACTTCAGTTTCTAGAGACACGCTTTACGCAACTTTGGTATTCATCTGATCTGACTGTTAGCGAAGCATCCAGACTTAAACAAATCAAATCTGGAATCAGAAGTGAATCAGGAGTTCAGTGCTGAAATCCTCCTTCATCACACAACGTGACAGCCTCAGATTGATGTTACGCTCTGAGTCAACGGCGTGGCACAGTTTTACACTGAGTAAACTTATATGACTGCTGTTGTTGCACACAGTTTGGTTAAAAGCCTGATCACTGATGAACCGGGACATCAGATGGGATCCGTACCCATATTTATCATTTAACATCAGAATAAAGAAATAAGCAGAAAGTTAAGCGACAACTAAATGTAGTCGTAACTCAGAGAACAAGAGTGTGACAACGCTGACAGCTGAGGTGTGTGCGAGTGTCAAAGAGTCGGAAAACCGACATGAAGAAGGCAGCACTATAGACTTCATATAGACAAACTGGAGAACATCTTCTGGGGAGACCACAACAGCCGCCATCACGCCGACTCTCACACCCATCCTTAAACTTAAACTTTATTTGGACCTCAGCTACAAACGTGGAGTTCAACATCTTACATGGACACAAATCGAAACATGTAAACATCTGCCAACTACTTAAAACTGCCCATGTGGTGCAGTAGGTGTCATAAACAAAAACACACAGCCTCAACCATTAACACAATGCCAACGATGGCTTCAGTAGTAGTCAATACACCACGTGCACAGCAGAGTTTTTTGGAAACGCTGACCAGCTCGGTGCGTAACTTAACTAGAATTAGTCACCGACAAGTCAAGTTGCAGTTTCCTTGTACGCATTTGCGAATAAAGTAGATTCAGAACACAAAACTGTAGCCATGACAGTAGACAGTGCTTCAAATATCAACGCTACTGCAAAACGTGGATGCTTCAACCACATCCTCAAAGTGGCCGCACACAAAACAACCGGCACAGTTTCAAAGTGGCACCCAAGACGACGGTCACCAATCGTGCATCTGAAAAAATGTGAAATCACAATCTAACCTTTTCCTCCTGATTTATGGTGAAGATTAACAACCAAAAAGGTGCCTTTTGTTGATCTTTGACCACCAGAATCTACTAAATCAGATGCTTTTATCCAAAGTGACGTACATTTTTGAGAGTAGATCACATTCATACACCAATGGCGACAGAGTTGCCATGCAAGGTGCCTGTTTGCCATCGGGAGCAACTTCTGGGTTCAGTGTCTTGCCCAAGGACACTTCAGCTGTGGAGGGGCCGGGGATTGAACCACCAACCTTGCGATTAGTGGACAACCTGCTCTACCACATGAGCCCCGCCTTTAGTCCAAATCTAAAGAAACTCGATTAGGACGTTTCTGATATAAACTAATGACAATATAATAAACTACAGACTAAAAAAAAAAGACATAAAAAGTAAATACACATCAGAATAGAAACAATCGGAGTTCAAACCATTGATGAAATCCTAATTGCAGAAATAGTCTGATTCTAGCGGAGACAGCATGTGTGGTCTCGTTTGTCACGCAAGCTCATTCCAAATCATTATTCCACAAAACCTGCTGTCATCAAGTGATCTAAAACATCTGTCCTTCTATGGACTGTGTCTGCACCGCCTCTGAATCTCCTGAATACTGCCAGAGACCGGAGTCATGTACTCGGTTAATAAAGTCGATGACAGACGCTCTAAAATTAGGACCAAACATGTGTCACCGAGAGTTTTTTGGCAGGTTACGACTGAGCGCCTACTTGGAGATAAATCGGTAAATAGAAGCCCAGATCAGATAGAAGACGTCTGTGGGTGTTTATATCACTTTCCTGGTGGCACATATTTTCATTTTTAAAACAAGCGACTCTTGGCCAGAAGTCTTTCCAAGACAGTGGGATTCAAAACAGTGAAGATGATTCTAGGAATGAACGGGCGTGTTTGTTACCTGTAGGGTGTCTTCCTGCACTCTTGTCTTGGGGTCTCTGACATGACGAGGTCTTGGCTCGCTCCACTGCATGTCGTCGCCTGAATCGGGACAAAGCAGCTCGTCAACGTGGAATCACAACCTGCTGTGTCACCATCGCGTTGCCAAAACCTTAAACGGTCCCTTTTAAGTGTGTTTGGCAGGCAGCAGCTTACAAAAGAGGGTGAAATTTATGTGCATCATAATTAGTTTAATGTCAGCGGAAATTGTTTTTTCAATATAAATGTAGATCTTGTTGAAAAGGCAACACTCGTAATGAGAATTTATTTGCAAAGAGTCTGCAGAGATCTCATTATTTGATTCATTCCCGTTCTTGGGGCTATAATTTGATGAAAAGCATCTCAAATTGTTATTTATTTCGAGTCGCTACACACTAATTTCTTTCTCTTTCTTCTCTCTCGTTTTTTTTCTTTTTTAAAACTTGAGTAAAGATAATTTCTGTTCGTTATCTTTACAATTAACTTAATCTCCAGTCAAATGGTAGAAAAACAATAATAGGAGAACGGTTGGGTAGCCGATTAGGAGAAAGTTTATCAGGCTTCTCCACTGATAATATTTGCCTCCTGACGGCGTCGGGCAGCCGACGATGTTCCACAAATACGGGTGAGGAAAGTCCTCAATGACAACAGACTCAAAGACAGCCAATGATAATTACTAGCTACCTTTGTATCCTCCTCCTCCTCTTCCTCTCCCTCCTCGTCCCCTCGGTCCTCCGCCACCTGCCCTCTTCCTCCCATCTGTCCGTCTGGGCAGAGTCCCGCCTCCCGTCATCAGCTCTTCGGTCGGGGCCAGCGACCAATCGCTGAGCTCGTCTCTGTGGTCCGACTCCGTTTCTGAGGCGTTGGATGCCTCCGAGTTGGTGCCTGGGGGACCGAGCACAAACCTCATTTCAGCTGCCACGGGGAGACAACGCAGGAATTAACCTTTGAGTAATTGTTTTGCCGTATAATGAAGCCGTCGGCGGGGAAGGGGCGCCTCTGTTCGGCGCTCATGGCCTCGTACTAGCTGGCTGTCTCGTGTGCTTTCCTTTAAAACGTCAGACAGCCTTATTTCACCGTGTAATGGGGCCACTGTGCACAAAAAGTGAAGTGATTACCGTTAATCAAATATGGCCTGAAAATAGCATCAATCTAAGCCAGAAAATCGGCTCTCATGCTTCGTCATTGGGCCTCTAACATCCAAACCAATGACAAAACTTAACCTGACGTCTTTATAAGCTCTCGAGCTCTGAGTTTATCATTAATCTCCCCAGAGCTCAGGACTGTAAACAGACGAATAGAATTGATTTAAACAAGTGTTAATTAATTTTCTTGTTGTTTTTGAGGAAGTTTATCACACCTGAGGCAAAAGCTGCTCCTCCGCCTCTCCGGCCTCGTCCTCCTCGTCCTCCTCCAGCGTAGGGCTTCCCTCCTCCGCCTCCAGCTCCTCTGCCCATGCCCAGCCCCATGCCGTTGTCGAACACGTAGGTTTTGTCTTTGGGGTTTCTGGGCCCCGTCCCGCCTCCTCCGCCTCCACCTCCTATCTGTCTCAGCTGCTCGTCGATCTGAAGGCGCTCCAGACGCAGCTGGTCCACCTCCTGTGGACGAGGAGGAGCGACAATGTTAAGCTTTGAGGAGCAACTTAGTCAGAAACTCAGCAACTGGAAAGAACTCGCAAAACAATCGAAAGCTGGATTTACGTAAAGGTTGAATGACTGAATACATATTCACAGCTGCATGACTCGTGTCTGTCTGCTTGGATGATGCTCCATTAACCCTGGATACAGTTTATCTGCTCCATCTGACGCCTGCTTCTGATTTCCAGTCAAGTAAAAGTGACAAATGATAAAACGCAGACATAATCATGACATCGTATACCAATACTTTTAGACTAATGGCTACTATTTAGGCACCTGTGGACTTTCTAAGTAGAGGATAATAATAAGTATTATTTACAGCCAGTGTGTCTCAGGTTCTGTTGTAGTTCTACAACTACCATATGTTTGTCAAATCAGGAAACATGTTTGTCCTCCTTTCTAAAACGGTCTGGATCATCTTAAAAACAACAACAACAAAATAATCCTTTCTGGTCCAGACACTAGTAGCTGTGAAGTATTCAGTCATTCTAACTGGACTATACGACTGCTTTTATGATATAATACACACATAGTAGTGCAAACATTTGAGGCACTTTAGTTGAGCTTATCTAAACTCTTCAAAGAATGTTAATTGATATTTAAAACAGCATCTGAATACTTTAAAATTACTATACGTGTTATCGCAGACATCCAAGACCTTCTAACCCTCCTTCACCGTGCATCAGCGGTAATTACTTTTAGCTGTTCTCAGACAATTCTCAAATCGATCAATCACATGTAAATTTTGTTGTGGCAGTTCTGGAACTTTTTTTTGTGAATTTTATTTTCTTTACTCGGTGCTGTGAGTCTGTGACAGTTTGATTGTTTTCTTTCAAAACTTTTCTTGTCTTAACTTTGGGCTGATATTAAATCATGTCGTCTCACTGATGTTCTGTGATTTTAAATTGATGTATTTTTAATGTTGTTTTGTGAATGGATCCCAGGAACACTAGCAGTCACCCTGTGGAAGCTAATGGGGATCCAAATAAAGAATAAGACAAGAACTTTTAATCTTTTTGCCTCATAACTACACGTCAAAAAAGTTGATTGCCTGATTGCCGCACTGCAGGTACATTATTCATCTCTCTTGGTTGCCCCCTGACAAACAGTTTTGGCTCCAGCAAGTGTTGGTCAATAATTAAAATGACTGGCACAAGAAATCTGAACAACTTTCTTAGCCTGTAACTGGTAGCCTTACAACTGATAAATTAATGCTAAAATCAGTAGAAATCATTTGTAGAGCCACTATAATGATGCTACGCTGTCATAGCACGCTTCAGCTCCCCTGGAATTAAAAATAAAGACAGCCGATGGGCAATAAGTGTCACGGGAGACTTTCTTATGGTGGCTCTTTACCAGCTAAACTCCCACAATGCCCCAACATGAAACTCCTACTAGTGACCACCTTCTCAGGTCACTACAGCAGGAAAAGGCTCAACCTGGTGGCATAACTAGGCATCATCTTACATCCTGTAAGGACACAAACCTTCAGGTAGTTGAGGTGGTAGTCTAGCAGTACTGTAGCGTTGGAGATGCTTTCCTTCGTTCCCACAAACACAAATGGCACCATTCCCTGTGACAGAGGTTCAGAACATGAGAGACAGTTTTAATCCTCCTGTTTGTTGAACGATGTGCACCAGAACTGGCATCGATATATATCTACTGTGATGATTTCTTGTTTGTGTTATTGCAACACGAGACAAATCTATCCCCCACTGACCTCGTCTGCTGCTGCTGCCGCCGCTGCAGAAGGCTTTTTGTCATTCTCAGGCTCAATACGAACCCGCACCACACCAGACTTATCAACCACTTCCTGGATCAGTTTGCCGTTCTTGCCGATCACCTTCCCTATAGGGGAAAAAAAACATCATCAGTCACAGTCTGCTAAGGCATAAAATCAGGCTAATCCTCAAATAAACTCACGTTGCTGCACGAGTCATCATCTCAGTTGAGTGGTTTTCTTACCTACTAAGTTCCTGGGAACTTTGATGACATCTTCAGAAAACTCCAGGAAACTCCTGGCCATGCGTACAGCATCCTGGTCCTGAGATGAACAACAAAACAAACATACAGAGGCTGTAGACGGATACAAGTGCTAGTTACAAGTCAGGCCAGTGTGCATTTCTATCAGTTGCTCTGTGCGTCGGTGAAGCCATCCTACCTCTCCGTATATGTGGAAGGTGCACGTCTCTTCGTCCAAGTCGATGTTAGTGACTCCGGGGACTTTGCGAGCTTGCTGAATGTTGGCCCCGTGAGTTCCGATGGCCAAACCCATCAAATCATCCCGAACCGCAAACTGTTCGTGAAACCGTGACGCCAGCTGTCTGGAACTCTGAAGAGGGACACACGACACAAAGAACATAAACAAAAGCCACAACAGAACAAGCAGGAAACATCAGGAAAAAATAAAAAACTCTAATCATTCCTAACTGCAAATGATCATATTATACCAACACACTCAAGTGCAGCCGTCTGTAAGCCTCATTATGACCAAACTGAGGTGCACGTGTTCATGTTTAATTGAGATCAGTCCTGAATCTTGGTATTCTTTCTGACCAACATCTAAACTTTAAATGTGCCGTTACTCAGCCCATTCAGTCTTCTGTCTTTTATCAAACCTGCACTATGACCCCACAACACAAAACGTCTCGAACAGCGGTCGGCAACCTTAAACACTCAAAGAGCCATTTGGACCCGTTGCCAAGGAAAAGAAAACGCCGGGAGCCACAAAATCCTTTTGGCATCTAAAATGAAGATAACACTGATAGCATATATCGGTTTTCACCTTTATGCTGTGTATTAAAAACTATAGAGTGTTGCATTTCTGAAATCAATGAACTGCTACAGAGAAAATAACATTTTATTTCTGCAACAAAAACATTTTGAACTCCAAAAAAAACAAAAAAAGACGCTGGGATGAAGGTTATTTTAAAATAAAATACTCAATGTCTATTTGAGTCCTCCTCGTTTTTAGGAAATAAAAAGCCGAACTTAAATTATCCACCTGCAGCAAAGTAATAATGATTCTGGTTGTCCTGCTGACTGCAGCTGGGACTGCTGACCAGACTGTTGACCGCCTGTGAGTGCTTTGGGACGGGAGGAGCTCACGGCAGCACCGCTGCTCGCTGACGATAGTAACTGCAGAATGATACGTGTTTTCACATCAGAGTCTCCAAAACACAAGAAAGAGTCGCTAGGTTTGTCGCTAGTCGCTTTTGACAAAAAAAAGTCGCCAAGAGGATTTGGAAAGTTGCCAGATTTAGCATAGATTTAGCCAGTGACGCATATTCTGAGCGCCAAAAATTCAAACACGTTTTATTTTAATGTTACAAGTTTACAAACATCTTCAAATTTAGAATTAGACTTTAAAGCCTACTGAACTAAAATAAAATACAGTTAAATTAAAATACACATTATTTATTTTTCAAAGCCACAAGGAGCCGCAGCAGAGGGATGAAAGAGTTGCATGTGGCTCTGGAGCCGCAGGTTGCCGACCACTGGTCTAGAACCTTAATGTTTTCCAGTTTAGATTACTCTCACTGTTTTTATCTTGAACTGGTCAAAACACAGCAGCTCAGCAGCGAACAAAAACTAGTTGTAGGTTCGACATTAGCCAAATTCATGAGCCGTCATTTAACAACACAAAAACATTTCTAAGATTACGCAGCAGGCCTCGTATGTAACTGTTTGAGCCACTATTCTAGCCGTCAGCTAATCGAGGCCTGTTAGCGGCTCCATGTTCCCACGTCACATCCAGGGTTTTGCAGTGGTAGCTCTTGAAGTTTGGAAATGCCTTCTCTATTTCCCAGTGGAGTTAAAAACCCATTTATAGAGGTTAGCCTGCTTTTAAACACGCCCTGCATGCCTTCCGTTTTGTGATGTAGGTCAAGTGTTTTATGTATCATACATCATAAAAACCTGCATCTTAATTTCATTTCATCCTATATGTGAAGCATTTTATAACTGAGTGTTTTATAAAGTATATGATGAAATGAAATGATCATTTTCTGCGTGTGTGTGTGTGTGTGTGTGTGTGTGTGTGTGTGTGTGTGTGCAGCTGCCTACCTCCAGTTGTCTGCTGGCCTCTTCGTTCCTCATCATGAGAGACAGTTTGGTGCGGAGGCTCCTGAAGTGCATGTCACTCATCATGTTGGCCCGCTTTGTTGTGACCTCATTTACAGACTGCGAGAACATTCAGAGTCCGTTTCACTCTTTAGGATATAACTCATGAAGGATAAACACACACACACTGATGGGATGCTGTTATAAACCATGCACACTTTAACTTTTATCAAAGTCCCTCCATGAGAGGGTGAGAATACAATGATGTGTATAAAATGTAATTAAGTTTTAAAAAACAGTTTGACGAACCAGGATGACCAGCTGCTTCTTCTCTGAGTCGTAGGTGACGCTGAACGCTCCCACAGCCTTTTTGAAGTCTTTGTGTGCCGATTCCTTGGAGCACCTGGAGTGAATAGAAGAGTTTGTGTTACGCTGGAGCCAAAAAAGATGTTTGTGTCAATCTAACCTTCCTAAACAGTTCTTCCTCAACGATCAGACTGATCAACTCGTGAACGTGTGCACATGTACCTGACATTTATCACAGCTGTGTAAAGTGAAGGTGCTTCAACAAGGCCTTACTTTGGGTTTTAGTACAACTAAAATGCGTACACTGAGTCTCATACAGTTCTACAATTTACAATTTCTACAGTTTCATTTTGCAGTCGCTTTTATCCAAAGCGACGTACATCTGAGAGCGGATACAACACAAGCAAGGACCTCGTCAGGAGAAAACAATCTGGAAAAGTCTCATAGAACAAGTTCAAGTGTGATAGGGCGTTGATGCCAATAGCAGGCTGTGTGGGGGGTAGTAGAAATATTTTTTTGTTTGCTTTTGTTTTTGTTTGGGGGGCGGCAGTGGTTAGTTTTGAGTTTGTCAAGTGCAAAAGTGTTCATACAGTCAGAGTCTGAACTTTGCAGGCGTCACAGCAAGCGGATGTGGAAACTGGAGTTATAAAACTGTGGCCAAAAAATCCATTCTTAAATCCACAAGCTGTGTTTTTGACTGTCTGAGTACAACTTCATAACTGATTAATACAACCACATAGTTACTCACAAGCCCGGGATAGTATGAGCTAAAATTAGTAGCACATCTTGACGTGAATGTCCACCAAAAACATGACTCTGTCTACTGATGCTGCAGGCGTGTAAGATGTGTGTCAGCATGCAACTGCTTGAATTCCAGTTAAAATCATGACTGCAACATTCATGAATAACCAGATACAGAAGTGACTACACCCCTGTGCAATATCACCTAATTGTCAAATGATTCTAATGTGCAATTTAAGATATATTAAGTCAACTAAAATAAAAAAAATGTTACAATCATAAATCTATAAAGGAAAAATAACCGTCCAGATACACATTTTAAAATTTAAAATCATATAAAACAGCTTTACAGTTATTGTTTTTTGGCCTTTTTGCCTTTATTGTATAGGAGAGTCGAGAGAGAGACAGACAGGAAAGTGGGGGAGAAGAATGAGGGAAGGAATTGCAGCAAAGGGTCATGAGAGGGATTCGAACTCACAGCCGCTGCATCGGGGACTGTAGCCCATGAACATGTGTCACCAGCTCAACCAGTCCAGCCCATAAAACAGCTTTAACTGGTCAAAAAAATATTACAAAACGACGTCTGTGCACGTTAAACTCACATCTGCCGTAGATCCTCGGGTACATCCAGTCTGATCTTGATGAAGGTGGTTTTGGTGGCTGGTTTGTTGGGGTTGACCGGCCGTAACCGCTCCAGCGTCACTATCTCGTTTAACGTAGCGTCACAGGCGGCGTACTCTATTACGTAAAACTAGAAACACAGAGAGAATATGTTGGAGATATTCAGGCAAAAAGCAAGATGTGCAGCAGGGGAAAAAATGCATCTGATGTGTTTATGAATGTTATTGATGAAGCTGTTCGTTTACCTCCTAGGTCATCTATCAGTTCATATCAATACATATTTGGTAATAACATTTTCTGGACAGAGCATGCTTATAGCAGTGAGTAAACAGAGGGAGAGATAAAAAGTAGATGAGAAAAAAAAAAGTCGAACCAGGCCAGAAAAAGAGGGAAACAGCAGAAAAAAAAAATCCCATCTCAGAGACGCGTCTGACAGGTTAGCCTGAATTCAATCCTTCAATTACACACTCAATTAATATCTTGTTCAGGATTGCAAAAGTGTGACCTTGGACTGGGGAAGCAAACTCTCCCTCTCACATTTCATCAGCGTCACTCGACGGAGGAGTGATGGTACACTTAGGCTGATTATCTGCACCGAGCCTGATAAAAAGGGTTTTTTTTATGGCTGTTTGACATTTTTATGGGGAGTGTGAAACATGATGCTCGGTGGGATGTTGGCTAAATGCAGCATTAATGAAGGAAATTAGGTACAACAGTGATGCATCCTAATGAAGCAGGTGTCAAGGCTGCATTTTAGGGAAATTTAAGTCAGTAGAAGAAGCCAACACGTCGTGGTATTGTGGCTTCGTTATGTTTTGATTCCACTGATAACTGATTCCCCGCCCCGCGCTGCGTATTTATAACTTGTGCCCCAAAAACTAGGTCTTACCTCTCCTTTGACCATGCGAACCTTGGCCAGCCACCACCCACATGGCTCCTTGTCGTTCGCCCTGGAATATACCTAACACACACACACACACACACACAAACACACACACACAGAGTAAATTTCACACAACTCTCCACTCACTACACAAAGCTGACATGATTCAAGGCATCTGGCACAGAGAAACTGGGTCTGGACAAGCAAAGAAAGAGATCTGTTGCAAAAAATACACTGACATGTGCTTATTTTGATTTAATCCGTGTAAAAATTAGGACATCTAAGAAGTGTTTGAAAAGTTGTCGGCAGGAAATTAGTGTGAAAAACTGAAAATCAAAAGGTTATGATGAGGTGAGCGAATGCAATTTCTGTTTAAACAAGAACATTCATTTATAATCTTAAAAATGGAGGAAAATGTAACGAAGAAAGAATGAATACTGTTAAAAAAAACAAACTATTTGAAGTATGAACAGTATCCCTGATTGTCTTCTATGATGAATAAGTTTTCATATTAACATTTCCTCACTATGCCGGGTCCACGTGAACAAACAACCCGCACCACGAAGCAGCAACAGTTTGCCTCCCATTAAAACCAAACCTGACCTCGTATTAGCTGCATGTGTTGCTTACTGAAGATCACTAAGCCTGAAGGATCCCCTCGTGTCCACATGCCTGAATTTCAATTCCTTCCCTTGCACTCCAATTACAGCGGCTTTGCTTCCTAAATCAACCGCGCTCGGTGTTCATCTTCTGAAACTATTCTGAAAAACAGTGAACCGGTCCCACCTCGACCTCATCGCTCTCGTTGATCTCCTTGCAGAACCCCGTCGGAGGAGGAAAACGCACATCCTGGAACGGGATCTGACGCTCCGGCTGCCAGCTGGAACACAGACACACAAACATATTCTTAAAAAAAGGCATTTCTTTTCTTTATCATTAGCCAAAGCTGACACATTACAGGATGTTAGACGTTGTCGTGCATGTACGTTACTCACTTGTTTTCAAACGCCACGGTGACTGATCCCTCGTGAACGTCCTTCACAAAGGCCTGCAAGAACCACACGAGTGAAACAAGGTTTGACGTGCCATAAAAATAGGCTACTTATACGTCAAGACGCTGACATCACACATGTACAAGGCAAACAGTTCTCCTACTCAAGCTTGACCCAATCCCAAATCGCTTTTTTTCTTTTTGGAGTTGAAGCTTGAGTCAGGTTTGGCTCCGTCTCCCTCCGGTTGTACACACAGTCTGAGCCCATGTGTGTCAAGTATTGCAAGTAGGACATGCGATGCCCAGAAGGGAAAGAGAGCGATGGCGAGTCTAGCCCATGGGCTGCATTAGCCTGGCAAGCTAACAGTCAGCGATGGGTGAAACGAAGCAAAAAAGGAGAGCTTCTCAAAATCCCCAAAGACTCCAAGAAAGCTTTTTAACTGTGCTAACGGGACCTCTGTGACCCGCGACCGCGCCGAGGATTATGAATGAAAGTTCAAGGAGGAGGTTCAGAGTTTAGAAGCAGCATCCAGGCTACATTGGAAAAAGATTTAAAAAGGTTTAAACAGAGCAGGTAAGGCACAGAGGTCATTATGAGACACTACAGTGACTCTAACAGGAGCATTGTTGTCGTATTATAGGAATAAAAACGGATACTGCGACTTAAAAACAGCAGTTTCACATATTTATTTCCTCTCAAGTTTCTTCAAGGGCTTTACAGTAGAAATACATTGAAACATCTGCCACATTATTACCGTCACTTGGCAGACAAATGCAGTAATTACACTTAAAATGTACATTAACGACAACAACAAATCATAACCATGATTGCAGCGGCAGAATTGTGGGCATCACTTTTCCAGGATCACTTAAAAACATCTATGTGATCAAGCATGTGATCTACAATATGACCAAGATGAGCGTTCTGGACCAAAACATCAGCAAATCTACTTTTTTTCCCACAAAACTGACCAGCAGCAGTCAAAGAAACATCTACGTCTCCCTAAAACTATGTACACCCACACACTTAGGACCTCGTGATCGACTGAAAGACTTAAACCTGTTGGTAGTCGCAGCTGGAAACACGAATTAAACGTATCTACATAACCATTATTACACATATAGTTCAAGATAAATGTCTAGCAGGGCTGCAACTGATAAATATATTGATTTTCTATGAATCAATCAAATATTTTCTTGGTTGTTTCGTCTATAAAATGTAAGAAAATGGTGTAAAAATGCGATCAGGTTCTTCCCAAAGCCCAGTAAGTCACCTTTAAATGTTGTGTTTGTCCACAGCCAAACCAGTTTTCCCAGTTTACATTTACAGAGGAGTAAAGAAACCAGAAAATAATCACATTAAACAGCTGGAATTAAGGAATTCTGACGTTTTCTTACACTCATTTATTAATCCAGTCAATTAATTGAGATGAAAACTTTTCTTCCTATTAGGATGCACTCTAGCAAACCTCCTGCAATTCATCTAATTGTTTGCTTTTGAACCAAAATTTGATAATAAAACCTTCCATTCAAACCGCATGCCAACAATACCATTTGCATCTATTAAATGATTTGTTGTTGGCCGGTGTCATGGCCCGCTTAGAGCACATCCACTGCTGATGCTGCCATCTTTAACTTGTTAAAAAGCCAAAGGGAAGTCCAAAGAGGAGCATTTTTTATTTTATTCAGGACTATTTATGCTACTGAGATACTTTTAAAACGCTTCAGCCTGCAGCAGGAGGAGTCTCGTGCGTCCACGGCTACAGCTGAGCTCAATAAAGACTAATTACAACTCAGAAATGTTTCCTGATGGCCGGGCTGCACATTCATCCCGTTCCTTACGTTAGTCTGGCAGCCGCAAAGCTTTTGGTAAGATGACAATATATGAGAGTAGAACGATTAATAGATATTCACAATTTCAAGCGATGCAATTAGCAAATTGCAAACACTGTAGCTTAGGACATAGGTTGTGTATTGCATGTGGTTTAAACTGGTGGGTTGGTGGTGTTTTAAATTCACGCTGTAATCCAGTGTGGATGTCAAACTGTTGCACCGTGACATGATTTAACTCTAGAAGACACTGAAGCTTGAATTTGAAAAAATATATGCAGCAAATTAAATTGCAATTACAAAAATTGTGATTAGAGGGCAATCACAATTCATCCTCACACTACTGGAGCTGCTATTTACAATGACGTAAACATAAAATAACAACATGAATATCAGTTTTATTTCTTTCCTCCCTTCTTACTCTAATTTCTTCCTTATTTTCCAACTGCCTTCCTAAAGCATGGCAACACAAGAGCTGGAAATACCAGACTCCCAACCCACAGACCAACCAGCAGGTCACACTTCTACTCAAATCAAACACTAAACACGTGATTACTTGTAATTAAGCAGCATTTCAAACGCAGAAATTTCCCCTTGATCACGTGTCTTCCTGCCGCGTTAATAAGTTACTACCTAAAGTATTCCTGCACTTCTTCTACCCCTGACAAACAAAAGGCCAATTAAGCCACCAGCTCTCTGTCCACTCGCTCCATTCATCCTACTTGTTGACACTTGTCTCCCAAATAACCAACAGAACCGTCTGCGAGCCTCGATCGACCCAAAACCACCTGCCCTCCTGGGGGGGAAACACCCAGGCTACACGATCGCTCGACACCCAAGTTAGCTGCGGTTCACGTGAAACGAAACTAGTTGGAGAACAACAAGCCATGACCGAGTTTTGGTACCTGTGTATGTGCAGCCACCTTCCTGCCCATCATCACTCCACAACACAACATTAGATCACAATCACCGCTAGCGACACGGCTGCTACAGCTGCACTGCTCCAACACCGACATCACCGCCAGTTAGCTGGTTTAATTTAGGCAGCAGCTCGGAGGTTGGAGCAGCAGCGGAGCCGGAGCTTTTGTTTACAGGTTTTCTGCCTCCATGTCCCGGTGGAGGCTGGACACAAGCACTGAGGCCCGCACATTTCAGGCACACGTCGCTGAGCTAGCCCGGTAAGACCGTTTCATGTCAGCTGGCTTTACGTTTGAGCACAGTGTGGTAGCGAAACGTGTAAAAGCTCAATTAAACTCATCCACTCACCTTATAAAAGGCCCCACTTGTGCCCCGTACTTCCACGACTAGTTCCTCCATGACGCAAGTTACTACAGCTCGCTAGCTAGCTAACTACCGTTAGCGATGTTAGTAGCTAGCTAGCTAGCTGGCTAGCCTGACGCTAGCCAAGGCAGAGTTTTCTATCGGAGGCTTCGCTAGCTAGCCAAAATATCCTGCCAGCTGGATGCAAGAAGAGGCCACGGCAACTGTGTGACCGCGTAATGCCGCTTTCCGTTTTGCACTCTCTGGGAATTTTTGTTGCTTGCAGACGTGCAATTCTGAACGTGTGGTAAATCAAAAAGCGAAACCAGCAGCTAGTCGGGTTAGCCTGTAGCAGCTAGTTATGTTAATGTTGTGTGATTAGTGGTGGAGCAGCTACTGCTGGTTGCATCTCTCCATGTGACGTCTCCGCTTTCTTCCTCGACTGAAATCTGAGGCTGCTTACTCTCATCTGAGCCTATTGCTGCTCTCCACGGGTAATAAATAGCAATGCCTGTTTGACAAAGCAGGGAATTCATCTAAATAAAAATGACCACAGTGTTTGTCCTGCAGTGAACCTTTATAGAGCACAAATAAAAACAGTTGTTGTTCAGCAGCCAAACAATGAACATGTGGAGGAAAAAATAAACTCTTTATACTGAAGTTATCTCAACATGGATAAAATATTCTGCCCAGACTTTAATTTACAATGTGCGTCAATAGAAATAAAAGGCTGTCATCAGGGTTATTGCTCAAATATTGATTATCTCTGACTGATCATTGGGTTCTGTTGGGCTGATCTTTGGTTCTTTGATCCCACTGTGGAGAACAAATGGGTTTAAAAGCCAGTGGGGTTTCAGAACCTGGGACAGCGACAATTTTCTGTCGAATAATCCGCTTTTCATGTCGTTTCTCACGCCGGCTCCCACTTGATTTAACTCATCTTAAAAAATCCCTCAAATGAAAATCAGGTTTTATTTAGATTGATTTCAGAGCAGCAGAGAACCGATAACAGGTTTAAATAACACAGTATTAAATATGTAACAGACCTAAAGAACCAATCTGGTCAACTTTCAGAGCATCATTATTCTTTTTCAGAATCAGATTCCAGTTTGAACATGTGTGTCTGAATTACTCCAGTATTACAACCTGCCATCGTGCAGCATAAAGTAGTGTTTCGAGCTGATGAGCTGGTGTGCTGGAGCTGCACTGAGTTCACAGTGGTCGGTGGTGTCTAAAGCGTCTAAAGAGACAGTTTTTATTGAGATTTTTTTTGACAAGTTTATTTTACCGTTTTCTGTCATAATTTCATCAGTGTTGAATTCATACAGTCATGAAAAAACTATTAAAATGATAATAAATAAGATGTGGAGGTCAACTTGGACTAAAATCTAAAACCTTAAGATTAATGTTTGTGTAAAAATGTAGTGATCTTGACTGCAGTGTTTAAATTTAATGTCGAGCGCAACAGGTCACATGACCACAGTTTAGGTAAAAAGTACATGAAATATGGTTGAACAATGTTACAATACAAATAAATCAGAATTAATAACGCAGAAAAGTGCCATTATAAGTTAGGTTTAGTTTTGTACTTTAATGTGAAAAGAAATCTCGTGTTAAAATGTCAAAATTCTGCAATAAAACTAGTAATTCGGTTTCAATTTCAAGGAATCTACAGTTGATTTTAGATCATATCAAGTGTAAATGAGTTTTCACCTGTTGTATTATGGGTCAGGAGCCTGAGAGAAAAACTATATGACCCAAAATAACCATATTCTGTCCAGTCCGACAGGCGCACAGGGTAATTTGTGATTTGTTTAATATTCATGTATAACATATGTTGAAGTGCCTTCACATGGACGTTTTGATATATTTTCTATACTTGAATCATCAACTCACTTATTTTATTTTGTATTTTCGGACACTTACTTAAAACAACTTTAAAATAACTTAACTATAACTTAAAATAAATATTCAAAAGGAATTGTTAATGATGTGTGGCGGGCTGCAAGGTGGCCCGGTGGTTAGCACCGTTGCCTCACAGCGAGAAGGTTGTCTGTTCGCATCCCAGTGAGGACACCCAGTATCTTCTCCATGTTCTCCCCGTGCAGCGTGGGTTCTCTCCAGGTTCTCCGGCTTCCTCCCACACAGTCCAAAAACATGTTGAGGTTAATTGGTGATTCTAAATTGTCCGTAGGTGTGAATGTGAGTGTGCTTGGTTGTCTGTCTCTAAGTGTAGCCCTGTGATAGACTGGTGACCTGTCCAGGTGAACCTGCCTTCACCCTGAGTCAGCTGGGATAGACTCCAGCCCCCCATGACCCTAGTGAGGATTAAGTGGTGTATAGATGATGGATGGATGATGTGTGGCCTTTATTACATGGGACCGGTGTAGTTACAGGTGGAGAAAAAGGGGGACAGTAGAGCTACATCGAAGCCGCTATCAGGCAGGACTGGATTAATTCCATCTAAAAAACCTCTTTAAATGGCTCTGTAACTCTGATATACAGAAATGAGTTTTCAGGCCTGTAATCAATGATCAGAGACAGATTTTAAACCAGTGAATCATACAATATGTCTGTTTTGACTCTTATAAACCGACTTCCCTAATTACCAGTGTTTGTGTCCAATGTCTGCGTTCTGCGTTCGCTCACTTGCCAAACCACATCATCCACTCCAGCTGTCGGCCTCAAAACCCCCAAATTTCATCTCTGACAGCCTTTTCAGACAAGTCATGCTACGTGTCTTATTGATGTTTTTGGTGCTTAAAGACATCCGCAGATGCAGTTTGTCTGAAGAATTCAAATATTTAACTCGTAAACAGCGACCCGACCATAGAAAACAGTTCAGATCTGGTGTTTTTTTTTCATCGACTATCAAGAATCCAAAACAACTTCTTCTGTTTTACGTCTCTAAACTTCTCATTCTTTCATCTGCTGCATCCATTAATGGCCACATGATCTGCTTGGGAATCATATTTTGTAGCCAAAGACAAGGAACAACCACAAGCCACATGTTTAGAGAGACAGACAGAAGAAAAAAAAAAAGAGACAAACTGCAGACGGAGTGAAAAAGAAATTGAAAGTATTCGGGGTCACAGAAGCAGACAGTGAAATACGAGATGGGCACGGAGGGACTAAAGCGAGATTAAGACAGAAATAGAATTGGAGAGGCGTAGAAACAGGGGTGACACATGAAGGGTGAAATAAGATACAGGTCAGAGAGTGAAGGGGGGAGACGGATAAACAGGCATGAAATCTAGAGTTCCTGTGTGTGGGAGGGAAACCAACCGAATACCTTTAGTCAGGAATGAAACGAGGGCATCGATAAAACAGACCGTCATTAATGCTTAGTGGTGCGCATGGCCTCAAAAACTGGTTTTAAGTCGTCTTAATGTGGGATAAAGAACGACGCTCGGAGCCGAGTGAAGCTTCTTCAGCACTTTTATCAGAAGTCCTTTTGTGAGATTGTAACAACAACAATGTTACATAAGAAACACACAGAAGACGACGACGAGAGTCCAAAACAAGAGCAAACCGACCGGCAGGAAAACATTGTCATCTCGGATTTATCGGTTCTAATAAAAATTACATCGTAAAATCAAGTAACGCCACTCGTAAGGCCTTTTGTTAAAGGAGTGATTTGGTGTTTTGACTTTTAGCCTGAAAAGCTTCTGAGGATGAAGGCGCAAATCCGTCCGTCACGCCGAGGTGTCAACGAGCCGCCGTCTGTAGCTTGACCTCCAACTTCTGTGGTGTCACGTTAAGGTTAACGGAGTGTAAACAAAACTACACCCACATGAATCACAGGTTTAGTAGGTTAACTGTTATCCAGAAGATCTGAGCCAGTCGTATCTGCTACAGGTGGTCCACAGAGCTCCTCGTGTGGAGGAGAATTTAACCACATACGTTATTCTAGTACAGCTACAGGCTGACACTTTAAGATGAAAATAAGCATCTGGTTCGCTGGCCTGCACTGCAAATAGCTGATTTATATTAAGAATGTTTCCGAGCTGTGTTAGCATCATGCCTGTAACCGACGTTCACTAAGAAAAACTGCTGATGTGTACCCCAGGGCTGCAAAATGAACAACATTTTTGCTACCAATTGCACGTAAAAAGAAAAAAAAGCTGAAGTTTTTCGATAGTATTCTTTTCTCCACCCAGCAGTCCAAACCAAATATAATCAGCTTGCTGTACATTCAGTGTGATATTAAAGCCAAAATTCATATTTTGAGAAGCTAAAAGCAGATTTTTCTGAATGTGGAAGAAATATTTTTGGTGCCAATTACATGTAAAAGGGGGAAAAAAATCCCAATTTTGAACATTTCTACAGTTTTTTGTCCAACCAGCAGCCAAAAATCCCAAATATATTCAATTTGTTGTAACATTAAATGCGATATTAAAGCCAAATTTCATATTCGAGAAGCTTAAAGCAGTTTTTTCTGAATGTGGAAGAAATATTTTTGGTGCCATTACATTGTAAAAAAAAAACAAATCACAATTTTAAAAAGCCAAAGTTGTCTTTTTCTACAGTTTTTCGTCCAACTGGCAGTCCAAAACCCCAAATATATTCAGTTTGTTGTAACATTAAATGCAATATCGAAGCCTAAATTCATATTTGAGAAGCTGAAAGCATTTTCTTCTGAATGTAGAATAAATATTTTGAGTATCAGTCACAATTTTGCAGAACCGACGTCGGCTTTTTCCACAATTTTCTTTCTACCAACCAGCAGCCCAAAACCTAAATATACTTCATTTNCATTTGCTGGAACATCCGTTGCAATATTCCTTCACAGACTTTTCTGACAAACGACTAAAACTACTGGCAGATGAGTTTTTGCTCGTCTAACTCAACACCCTGCTCCACTCGTCAAAAGACTGTCGTGTTGTCGTCGTGATGACACTGATATTTATTAAATCCACATACAGACTTTTTGCAGAGAAACAAAACTACCAGACTAAACTTCAAAATGTCAAGGCATCCCTTTAAGAGCAAACATGAGTTATCAAAAAAGAATAACACTTCAAAATAAGAGCAAAAAATATTACAAAACGTCTTGTAGGTACAGAGGAAGAAAGGGGAAGGCAAGCATACATACTGTACATCTGTAACCTGGTAAAGCACACGTTCCACATTTGTGATTTCAAATGGTTAAAAAAAGAGACGTGAGATGATCCCTCAGTAATGTTGTTTTACCTTATGAGTTACACTTGAATAAGCTCAGTGATTTACGTATATTGAGGCGAGATATTTCAAAATCAACACAATCGTACCTTCTTTTTTCTTTTTCAATCATTTGAAATCAACTCAAATGCTTCGTTATTCACATCTGGTGAGTTCATGACAGAAATTCAGGCACAGTCTTTCTTCCTCCAACGTGTTTTTCTACGACTGAATTAGCCACGTTTTGCTAATACTGGATGAAAGTTGTAGGGTGGTGCGCCCGTCCTGTCACATAGTACACGCTGGGATGTCTTCCAGCCACCCGCGGTCCTCAACAGAATAAGCGGGTTAGAAAACGGATCAGTGGACGTTATCCCGGTTTCTATGAGTTGCATTTACGGAGGTTAAAAAATCTCCTCTTCAAGTCACAGATTTGCCCGTTTGGTGAGAATGAATGGAGCTCATTTGATTCACTCGTAACCACTGATTTAAGCGTCAGAGCGACCAGAAGCGATGCACCTCTGGCTCTCAGCGCTCGACCTGCTCCGTGTGTCGGATTAATCAGGTCATCAGACCGTCGGCTCGGAGGGAACGACGCTCTCGAACGGTCTGAATTCTCTACATGTGGCGTCCAGATATATTAATAGCATGGCTGAAAAGTAGGCTACGGTGATAAAATATGGTAAGTGTGCTGCTATATCAAACTGACACATATCACAGTCAGGATTGATGCCTTATCGCACAAAGGCTTTCGTAGCTTCATCACTGAGTTATGTACAGGGTATTCCTCCACTCAGCAACCCCGGCTGGGAGCTAAATCAATGTATAGCCTGTCTGCGGGTAGTAAATAATGAATATGGCTTTCTACAGTGTTTCATGCAGCCCCGCGTCGCCGACGACTTGGAAACTCTTCACTCCTCTGTTACAGGCTTTGAAAGTCCACCGCAGCACTAAAGCTTCTCCGTTATCTACACGGGAGGTCACAGTTTTCTCTGCTGCACTTTCTGGAGTCTGGAGGCAGTGATGCTGATGCGGACAGCGCATCGTCTAAGGCAGCCGGTAAAGGCCTCTGCCCTGGGAAAATTATTCATCAGAGAATACATGGAACTGCTGCAAAGAGACGGCCGGGTGAGCCACTTTGCCAACAGGGAAAACGTGGATAGGAGGATACGTTTACATCAGGAGGAGATGAGAAAGAGGAGCCTCGCCTTCTTTGTAGGAGAGTGCATTTCTCCCGCATAGGGGTAAGAGGATCTTACAGCTTCTAAATCAATAGGTGATGGTGCCGCCTGACAAACTATAAATGGCCCGCTTTCAGGAAGCCTTCTTGTCAAGGTCTTATCTGCCTCCTATTTTGTCCACGTTAACTTTATCTAGCATGTGTTTATGCACTTGTCTTAACTCACAGTGGTTCCGAGTCAACTAAACACGGCTGAGACAGAAAAGAGTCGTTTATCCTTTCAAAAAGTCCATTTCAGAGGCTGTCAGAGTGTTATAGCTTGAAACCTCTTCTGCTACTTTTGCCTCAGTGATTCATTAAAACTGTGATAGAGGCAGCGTTTTTTTTTTTTAGTTTTTAAGGCAGTAGAAAAGGGGTTTAGGAAATGCTGCTTTTAGAATGAGGGTGAAATATACGCTGCTGTTAATAACGGCTGTGATCAACACCGAGCCAGGGCTGGTTTCGGGAAAAGGCTTTGCATCGAGACTGCAGGTCCCGTAGAAAGTGTATTTACTCAGATTGTGTGTTTGCTCAGATGAGAGGAAGAATTTCTACACTAACCTGTAGTCTGAAAGGCAACTTAATCTCATTTCTTAATAAATACATTACTCCCCAATCCTTTTTTCCTTCCTTCAAATCCTCATCCTCAGAATACCGATGGACCGTCCCCCCCGTCCTCCACCTCCTCCACTTCTTTAAATCATTGCTCTTAGTGTCAGCTTCAACCCCCTCATCCTTCTCCTCAACCAGAAAAGTTGCACTTAATTTGAAAGACCCTTGTTTAAGCCCCGGTCATCCCTCTCCTCCTCCTCCTCTTCCTCGACATGTTCAGTTACTCTTCCCTTCCATTATGCCTCCCACTCCTCCTTTTCCTCAACACGGACAATTACTCTTTGTTTCAGTCTCTTGTGTGAGCCGCACTCTCCCGTCCTCTCTCTCCACGTCCCTGTACAGCAGCGATTTCTGGGCCTTCAGGCGGCAGGCCAGGGACATGAAGATGGAGTCGACGTTCTGACTTTCCCTCGGGTCCTTGGCCGACGTCTCGAACAGCAGCATGTTGTGGGAGTCGGCGAACTTCAACGCCATGTTGGAGGGCACCTGGATGAGAAACGGTGTTTAATTGCGAGCTGGATGGTGAATAAAGGGTTGAATCGTGTTGCAGGGTTTGCTCAGGCTCACCAACCTGTATTTGGTCCACAAGGTCACACTTGTTTCCTACCAGAACTCGAGGTACGGACGCCGACACCCGGTGGCCATTGCACTCCTGAAAGAGAGAAGGGTCAAGATTAGAGATAAAGACCAACTAAACTACACCGATCAGTCCCAACATTAAAACCATGTGCTGCTGAAACAGCTCTGACCCATTGGGACATGGAAGCTGCTCTGTGCTATCAGGCACCAAGATGTTCGCAGCAGATCCTTTAAGTCCTGGATGTTGTGAGGTGGAATCTCCGTGGATCAGGTTTGTTTTTTCCACAGATGCTTGATCAGACTGAGATCTGGGGAATTCAACATCTTGTCATGGCTATCAAACCATTACCAAACGATGTTTGCAGACCGTTGTCATCAGGGAACAATGTGCTGCGTCCATGAAGGGGTGTAACAATATTTAGGTAGGTGTTTGTGCCAAAGTAACATCCACATGAACGCCGGACGCACAGTTTCCCAGCAGAACATTGTCCAGAGCATCACACTGCCTCTGCTAGCTTGCATTTTTCCCACAATGCATCCTCTTGCCACCACTACCCCAAGGTTCATTAGACTATGACTCCTTCCATTACTCCATGGTCCAGTTCTGGGTCTAGTTCTAAGGTTTTCAACAGTTTGTGCTACTGTAGCCCTTCTGTGGGATCGAATTGTACAGACCAGCCTCTACTTTTCACGTTCCTTGGATTTCCATCGACTGTCCTTCGTTGCACCACAGATACCAACCACAATCAGGCCATCACCCACCATTTCATCAAAACCTCTTTAGATCCTTACGCTTGTCCATTTTCCCAGCTTCAAACACATCCACCTCAAAAACTGACTGTTCACTTGCTGCTTAATATATCCCACCGAATGACAGGTGCCATTGCGACGAGATCATCAATGTCATTCTCTTCACCTGTCAGTGGGTTTATTGTCGCGGCTGATCGGTGAATCTTCTACTTGGCCAAAGTACCGTCGTGTCATTGAACTGGTGGCAGGATGTCTGTGAAGCCACCGTCAATGGCAGTCTGTGTGAGTAAGATCCAATATTGACGATAATTGAGTAGATTCAGCCAATTGAAAAGGACCAAAACAGCATAGAAAATGTGCTTCTACCTGGTTTCATTTGGTAAAACCAGACATTATGACTCAGGTTCACAGTGAGAGTAACCATCGTGAAATTATACATAAATGATCTCAAATCTTTTTAAACAAAACATCTGTCTAATTTTTGTTGCAGTGTCAGTCATTACCAACTTTACTACAGTGACTAACTCTACAACTAATATAACTAACATACAGTATGTTACTTCTTGGACTGTTACTATTTATTTAACCTTCGATTGCTTAACATTTTTCCTGTCATGGTTTAATCTCACATTTTTACCAACGAGTCGGTCTTGTCCTGTGGCTTTGGGTGTGACGTGGGCGTGGATTAACTGAAATCTGAAATGTGTTGATGTTCTCGGTATCACAAAACGGAGGAAATTACCAGAGATGGAAACTTTGCAAGTTAAAGCGAGTCCATCTGCTGCATTTTAAATGCAACAGCAAATCTGACGTGACTCAGTGGAGGTTAACAGAACTTCAGCAAATTTACAAGGTGATTGTTTTTGTCAATGTTTGAGTATTTTCAACCAAAGCCATGTAAAATGTGTTATTTCCAAGGCATTTTAAATACATTTCCATTTTAGGAAGGGACAACTAAACCCCAATAATCCTAAAACTGCACTAGTACTGTTTCTACTGCTCACTCTGAAAGTCGTCCTGCCATTACAACGACATTATTGCCGTTTCAGATATATTGACTCATCGTAGCAGGAAATGCTTTGGTTTAACTAACAGCATTAACAATGACTCACTTGAAGTGTCCCACGAAGCCTCAACAGTGAGTCACATGCAAGACTAAGTGGAATGCAGCTGCTACTTAAGTGTTATTAAAGACATCTGTGGTCTGCTGTGAAAAAGACAACATTACTGTACTTTTACCACTATTATTACTGCTCTACTGCTACTGTACTAACACGATTTCATTCTATAACTGGCTACTATGACTACTACCAGTTACTGTAGGCATACCAAGTAGTTCTTTAGTATTCTCGTCGTTTAATCGTAGCAACTGGACTTGCTTGAGTTTCTTGAAGACGGATGAAGGATCCTCGTTATACAACTCGCATAACGAGGGGGAGGAGCAACAAACCTCCAATTGAAACCGAAACCCAAGAGTTAATGGCTCCTTAAGGATATAAGTATCTGGAACTCCCAACTAGTCAGTCAGAACTGATGAAGAATCTTGGATGAGAGGTGGAACGTCTTCAAGGAACTCAAGCAAGTCCAGTTGCTACGATTAAACTACGAGAATAACCAAGACCTGGATGACTGAGAATCTTCACTGACTAGTTGTTTAGTACCTCTGCTAGTAGTAACTAAAGGTTGGATGTTGAGTTATGGAATAGATTAAACAGCCACCACACTGCCAGCAGACAGCAGCTGAAATACTGTAAATTATTATAGGAGTAGCTTTATCACTCTGACATGAAGGCCACAGCAGTGATTACATTAAATGTCAAACAATGTTTCAGGATGGAAACCTCATATTAGTGTCAAATCTTGGCAGACAAACTCTGATGGAGTTTCTCATTTCTCCATTCTGCACTAATAACACCACGTGGTTCTTTCGCCAACCTCTATCCATGTCTGTAAGTTGCGGAAGGAGGCCATCTTGGTCACATCATACACAAAGACCACAGCATGGACGTTGCGGTAGTAGTGCTCCACCATGGATTTACGAAAGCGTTCCTGGCCTGCCGTGTCCCACACCTGCACCTGTAGAGACACACAACAAGCAGTATAGGTTGGTGTTTTGATGTTACATGCGATTGACACAACTGAGAAAGACACTGAACCGTAATCCCTCAGTGTCTGTATCCAGCTGGCCAGAACCCACAGGCCCATTTGGCTGTCAGAGAAATTACCGCACGCACAATGACAGGATCCAGACGTGCAGGTTTAATCCGCAACTATGCAATTTTTTTGATTGCTAGCAAATGCTTAAGATAAACCTCCGTAAATAAGAAGACAGCCATGAATACGAATCTGGTTACGGTGAGTTGTCTGAGCCCATGAGGTCTTACAAAAGCCACTACATGGCACTGAACCACATCGACAGGAAGCAGCGCTGGATATTCCCGGCTCCAGGGTCTCAGGGGAGCGCTGTTCTGCAGCCTGATGGGATTTTCTGCTTAATCATTAACAGAGGCTTCAGGCGCTCTATATAGTATATGCTAAAATAAAACGGGCACAAATGTGTGTTTAAAACCAAAACAAAGCCCAGTGAGCTGTATTTATTACATGATTAGCCCAGTCAGCAATGTTAAACGATAATAAGCTGTACCTGTTTCACTACCTGCCTTCTGTTTGCTTCACATTTTGACGAACCTGTGAGTCCTGTCAGGTCACAGCATGATTGACAAGATAATTCAGATAATTTCAGCTAAATGTGTCGGTATTTTTTCCCCCAGAGCGGTTTTGTACAGCTGTTTGACACCATAATGGTTTTGAGCATGACGCCAGATTTCTTCCTCGGCCAGAGAACCTGTGGAGCTGCTCTCCGGCGCTGTGTTCCTTATCTGGTTCAGATTTAACCGGGAGGAGCACCAAATCTCAAAAGAGGTAACATATATGCCCCCCTGCAATCATCTTATCAAACGGTGTGATCTGCAGCACTTTGCCTATCGACAAGGACCCAACACTGAGCCGTCGGCGGCAGCTTTTAAAAACGCGACTGAATTATGTGCTATTAGCATTTGAAAGGAGCAGCCCAGCTATTCAGCATCACAGGCTGAATGCAGCATTAATGCAGCTCATAACATCAAAGCTCGGCGTGTGTCAAACACTGGCGTGCCCTATAATTTGACAGCAAGTTGAGAATTTTCATCTAATTGATAGTGAATTCAAATAGATCCTGTGAAGCTGATTGGAGGCTGTCTGCACTGTGATTACGGCACTTAGTTTTGCCATTTCCACTTAAATTTCCATCAGCAAAAAAGTCTCTTTGTAGGCAGGAGTGCAGAATATCTCAATCCATAACTGGGGTTTGTTTTTTAAAAACGCTCGGAAATAAAAGAGGAAGTAATCTGATGTTGTTAAGTCTCTAAGATATCGCGGCTGTAGGTCAAACTAACTGTCTCTATTTTGACACCTCACTCCGTATATCTATACTTAGTGCTCTGCTCTGCTATTTATAGTCCTCTGCAGCTTGTAGCTCACATTTGTCGTTGCCAATCTGTGCACTGCTTTAATTCACCTGCCAGAGGACTGGAGAGGAAAAGAGACGCACGGTTAAATCCCTGTGCAGCTAATCTGACTTTTGAGTGAATTTTAATTATATGCTAATCCTTTTATCCATTAATACATGAACTGTGAGTGAAGTTTTGACTTGTGTTGACATGGACTTGGTTCATAACCTTTTTAAAGGCTTTACTGCACTACTTGAATACTCGTGTTTTTCACTTCAACAATAGTAGAGTCCAATGTAGAGGCAGTGAAAGCACCATCTGGATGAGACACAAATAGATTTCAGCTTCATCTCTCAGCTCTGGCGCTGGAGACAAACTTGTCGACTCATTACCACATGAATTACAAACTCCCTTTAAAGCTTGGTGACAATTTTAAGATGATAATAACTTTTCTATTCAAAAGGGATCTGTGTCCTGCACCAGAGTATGGTACGTGTCCACGGGGATGTTTTTAGGCACAAGAGATCTCACTGCTTCCCAACACTGAAAGCTTGATCGGTGTGCAACTCAGCAGCGTCTTGATAGATGATTGACAGCTGCTCTCCAACAGCAGGCTTCACCCCCCTACGGCCGCCTAATCATTGGCTGCACCTGATTGGACGACGCTTCACTTGGAAGCTGGACTTCAAACCAGACCAACATGGCGGCTCATTTGGAAACGTTATATACAAAAACGAGTTCCTGAAAACATTTAAGGTGAGAAGCAAGTTGCTAAATCTGTCTTCAACAGTTAATTTGAACATTTTTCGGAAGTTTTGTGAGGCGCCGATCACGCTTGTTGCTACTATTGTGCATAAAGTCGCAGATATTTCAAACTTATTCACATAAAAAGTAGGTAATACATAGAAAATGAATGGAAAGCATCGAAGTGATAGATCCTGTGGACACGCACCATTAAGCCACTGTTATATTTTCCATGTCTGTGAGGATGCGAGGGCACTACGTTCTAGCCACGGGGTTAAATGAGCAGTAACATATCTGGTAGTAGTACATGCATGCAATACGTAGACGACAATCTACTGCACATTTACGGAACATGTCGTCCAAGTGGACTAGAAATAGTATAAAGCCTCTGTTGTTGTTGTTATTAATATGCAACTTTCTTGTCCTTATGGAGACCGTTTGGACGCATTCAATAAATATGCAGTCGTCTACGTCTATGTATTCACTATAGCAGCAGTGGCAAATTCTATACCCAGATGTCTGCAGAGGGTCCTGTGAGAATTCTTGCAGACTTGGGAGAATACGAAGCTGCAGAGTGTCCCATACTGGCTTCATACCACTTTGGTCATACTATCCTGCAGACATGCACTCGACAGCTGTGGACACCACGGACGTGTAGTTGTTGGTAATGTACTACTTTGTAGTCTGCCTGGAGGATGTGTTCTATTCATGTGTGGTAGTCGCATCGACATATTTGACACATGCACCTCACTGCCCTTGTAGTTTTTACAAAATAGTTTGGGCTCTACGTGGACGCCCAAAGGTTTCCCCCCGACTCTTGTGGACTTCACACGACATAGACCCCATCGAATCCCCATGTACTTGTGGTAGACGTAGAAAGTATAACACTGGGCTGATAACACCAACTACACATCCATGGTGTCCACAGCTACTCGAAGACAGCACAATCGATGCTTAAAGATTAACATCATCCTGTGTTTGTTGTATTGTCCTGTTTAAAAATGTGATGCTGCCATCCTGAGCAGGTCTCCCTTGTAGAGGAGCTGCTAACCTCAGTTCAGCAAAGCTTAAATAAAACCCCACAGCAAAATAAATGGCCAGTTGATGAGATATTTTGGGTCTTGGCCTTGGTCACACTTGAATCCTGAAATTCCAAAGATAATACATTTTTAAGACTATTAAAGACAATCCTTGCACTTTTGCAGCTACAGCAAAACGAGAAAAGCACTTGACCAGGCTTATCTTGTCTTAAATTCCTCATATCGACATTGTCCAGCTGTGAAGGCAGCGACCAAGCCAGATGCCCATAGAGAACAACCCCCATAAGAGCGACACTTACACTCTGACACCATGCGGATCATATAGTACGAGTCTCGCAGGTGCTTTTGGGTGAATTTCGGTGATTCAGGCACACTGACCTAATAGATGAGGTGCATCTCTGTGAGTGTGTTTATGAGTCAGCATTAGGGGGCATCTGGAGGTTGCAGACGGACCGTTCTACTGATACCGAAACGGGGGGAGGGGACTCACATTTAGGCATTCTTGTATTTGTTTGGCTCCGTGCAAGCGAGGAGGGGGAAGGTGTGCGAATTACCCAAGAGAGTTAAAAAAAAAAAAGGCTGACATGTCAGTCAACCAGAGGGGAACGTTCCAAGCCATTCTGCATCGAAGCAACACTAAAATCCGTTTTTTTTGGTCATGATACAACAACTGTCCTGCGATCATACTCTGGTTTGACATTGATTCTGCCAATACGTGCTGCTACTAATGAGCTTAGAGGTCATTAAATTTTAATTTACCAGAGTTCCATTACAGCGCTACTGTTATAACGCTGTTGGTTTTACTTGAGGAGAATTCGTTGCCATAGAGCTTGGGTGTTTTTTTTTTATGGCAGGTTTAAATGGAAAATTGTGAATAGTTTCCTCCCAGAGAACTGGATGAGGAAATGTTGCGCAATTTCAAGCAGCACACTCAGTTTTGGATGTTTTTTCAGAAACTCAAAAACATGCAGAAAGGATAAAATATTTGGATTCACAGTCAAATCTGTAAAAATATAATTTCTGGATGTGTTTCAAGCCCTGAAAAATCCACCAAAATGCCCATCTGGTCTCACAAATCCAACCCACTGCTTTGTTTTGTCTTCCTTTGTTGGCTCAAAATGAAAATTTCTCCCAACAAAAGTACATTTTGCAGCAACTAAACACCTCCACAGATATTCTTTAGTGATGCAAAGTGTGCTGTGATGCTTCAGAGTGAGGATAAATTAAAAATAAAAAGGCCCTGATTGATGCACTGGCTGCAGATGAGCAACAGACAGAGAAGAAACAAGGAGGGGGAGGTGGCATCGAGGAAACACCGCCGCTCAGCATCCATCCGTTACCTTGATCGTCTCCCCTTCGATCTCCACCGCCTTCTCCCTGAAATCCACGCCGATGGTGGCCTCCGTCTTGTCGGGGAAACTCCCCCCGGTGAAGCGGAAGGTGAGGCAGGTCTTGCCCACGTTGGAGTCCCCGATGACGATGATCTTAAAGATCCGCGTCTGGATGCTGAGCTCCAGGGAGGAGGTGCTCAGCTCCACCGAGGACGTGATGCTCTGGGCGGCTTCGGTGCTGCTGCTGGCTCGGCTCCGGCTGGCTCTGTGGAAGTCCATGGAGGATGTCAGGATGGTGACATTGTCGTCCGCTCGGTTCCGTCTTCCTCTTCCACCTCCTCCTCCTCCTCCAACGCCGCCGCCGCCACCCGGAGCTCGGGTCTCCTCCTCCGGGGAATCGTTGGTCATTATACCGGAGGAGGCGATGCGCAAGTCGGTGTGTGAGAGGAGAGGAGAGGAGAGGAGAGGAGAGGAGAGGAGAGGGGGAGGACGGTGGATGGGTGAGTGAAGGGAGGGGAAAGGAGGAGGAGACCAGGGATGGAACAATACCGACGGAGCTGCTTCAGCAGATCACTGTGGCCTTAAAGGGAGAAGCATTAAAAACAATTTTATACAACAGAAATCGACTTTTAATCCTAAAACCTCTCCATGAAATAGATCTGTTGGAGTAAAATGCAAACTAAAAATCACTTCAAAACTGCAGCACATCACATTAAGTTATATGACTACTGACAGTAACTTAATATTGATGCCATAAACCTGATTAAACATAACATCAGTCCCAAGATCATACAGTCTGTGAAGTCATTTCAGGAACCTTTTCCCACCACTTCATTAAATGCATGGCAAAAATAACATTTTCAAATTGAGACAAACCTGCAAATATCATTTTGTTTTATTGGGCTGATTAGATTGGACTTTATTCATCACCACAAATGGGAAACTCACTTGTTGCAGCCGTACAGATGTAGGAAAAGAGCACAAAATAGTAAGTTAATCTAAGAAAAAAGAAAAAAAAAACGTGCAAGAGGACAAATAAAAGTATAAATAGGAAGAGAATTACTCATATATTGCACATGAGAAAATGGGTATAATACTATATAGTATGTATGATGTTGGTGTTGTAATGTTGCATTAACTTGATTTTGTGTCACATTTGAACTCAAGTTTCTGCATTATTTGATTTAGGACTAAAGTAAAGTTGAGGTAGCTTAATGTAATTGGCTTAATAACTTAATTAAAAAAAAATAAAAAAAAAAATCCTATCTTAACATGTCTGGACAATTTCCGACAGTTAAGACCGATAATTAAAAATAACTTTGATTGTAGAGGATAAAGTCATTCCCCATAATTTAGTGTGATTTGTTGGCTGAACGTAATGTCATTAGATGTTGCCATCAATCAAAAAGACTAATGCAAACTAATTAAAGTAGTTAATATTGTAGTTTAGAGTATGTAGTAACAGCAGTGAAAAGAACAGTTTCTACAAGTGCAATACATGCATTTAATGGCTTTAGCAGACTTCAGTTTAGGTAAAGAGTTTACATCCATCCATCCATTATCTATACACCTTAATCCTCACTAGGGTCATGGGGGGCTGGAGTCTATCCCAGCTGACTCAGGGTGAAGGCAGGTTCACCTGGACAGGTCACCAGTCTATCACAGGGCTACACTTAGAGACAGACAACCAAGCACACTCACATTCACACCTACGGACAATTTAGAATCACCAATTAACCTCAACATGTTTTTGGACTGTGGGAGGAAGCCGGAGAACCCGGAGAGAACCCACGCTGCACGAGGAGAACATGCAAACTCCACACAGAAAGATCCCGGGTGTCCTCACTGGGACACGAACCGGTGACCTTCTTGCTGCAACATTGCTAACCACCGAGCCACCTTGCAGCCCTAAAGAGTTTTCATGAAATGTAATATACAGAACTTGTGACAGCCTTGTATAATCTAATGTATTGTTGTATATTAAAGCAGTAGTTTTTAGTCTTTGTGTCGGGTCCAAAAGACTGATCTGTCTTCCAGACTTCTAATAGAAACGTTTTATTTGTAACATAGATGTAAAGATGGACCCAACACAGTGTCTCTGTAGATTCTCAGTCATCTGAGGGTTATATGAAATGCTGAAGTAGAAGACAAGCAGGCTTCTTTTTTGCTTCTTGATGATGTTTCAGCTCATAAACAAGAGGCTTCATATGTTCTAACTGACTGGTGTTGAGTCTCAGGTGTCTGTTGTCTCCCATGACTCACATGAATCAAGGCTCAAATGAGACAACAAGTGAACCCGAATAGTGTGGTGGATAAACATCAGGTCATTAAAAACTTAGAACAATGTGGAAAGATTTAAATGATTGCAGTTCAAATCAAATAATCCCCCAAGTAGCGAGCCAAATTAAAGATAGGTCTAAATATATATACCAAAGGAGTTTGCCATTCAAGGATTAAGAGACTGTCAACGCTTTAACTCGTTAAAACTGGCGTCACTGAGACACCTACAGCAGTCATTTGTTGTTTATATGTTGATGTGCTGTTAATTTGACATTTGAATCCATTTTTTTCACAGTACATTTAGATTTTCGGTGCTACTGCTCGCTGGTATTCCCTACGGGACCATTACACTGATACTAAACGATTAAACTGCTCAATAAACACCCACCTGTCACAATAAACCCACTGGATTCACAGAGCAGGTCGGTGCGTTACATGGTTATTTGGTTATTTAGTGGAAGATGCAAAGAGGTTCGTATTGCGATGGGTCTCCCCAGTTCCTAATAGTAATAGACCCTAACAGTTTGTTTTCTTCATGGTAGCTCCTTGCCTGTGAAATTCCAGATAATATCTTACATATTTACTCATATCCATATATCATTACTTCATTGTGATTGTAGCTTTCGCTTTCCTTTCAGGTTGTGACAGAAAGTGAAACAGATTTTCTCAAGTCACATGATCTGATTATCACATTCCATAAAGCATCAGAGGACGGCAGCGTTCCCACATTCCAGACCTGATTAACGTAAAAGAAAAGGAACGTCCCTCCAAATCAGCATCAATACATCACTGCTATGGAAACCACCTGCACTTCAACAACTTATACGTCTCAGTAGCTCAAGTCAGTAGAAATGACTCGTGAGTTTCTTGCTTTTTTCAGGTTTTATGACATCTTTTACTCACTTGATTTTTGTTATTCTCCTTTTTTTTATTCACAGCCATGTTGGCATGCAAAAATATGCCAGTTGACATTGACGGCTGCTGGATTTGAATGAATAGGAATCTAGCAGAGCAGAAGGACGACCACCTCAAACATCTAATTTCCTTCATTCTGGTGAGTTTGTATGCACCAATTTGTACATAATTGATAGCGCAAATGTCTTCATTTATGTAAAACAAAACCCAAACTCCAGGCAGCAGGTGACACCATATAATAGAAAACAATGCAGTAAAGATCTCAGACATTCTGTGTTGCTTTTAAATATTTATTCCCCTTAAAATCAACTTTTCTCATTTACTATTATCCTCACTGACTCGGTTTCCGTCCTCCTTGGCACGGGGAAGGAATCTCTTTAAATGTGCATGTGGCACCTGTTCACATCAATAATAAACTCACTATAAATAACTGATGAAATCTACACTCACTAGATTTGCTCATAAACAGCGAATCAACAAGACGACATCATGATTTCATGGCGGTCGGTCCAGAAGTTGCCGAGAAATGTCACTCAAAGTTGTCTACTGAGCATCGTTGCCACAGCTGAAGCCGCACAGTTATCGTGACTAAAAGCGACGCAGCAGTTTTCTTGCCTGCAGCGTTCTTTCCAGCCTCACTATTAGCATGTTTCTCATTATTATTATCAGTGTCTGACTGCAAATAGCCTGAGTGGTGCACATCCCATTATGTTCATCCTTCAGTTACGGAACATGGAGCCAGGCAGCTATTTCCATCGTTTTTATAATCCGTAAACGCCGATGCTTTGGAGGTCTAAAAAGAAAGATAAGAAAGATAAAGAAGCAGTTTTACTCACCGTTTGAAATGATGTCTGACGGCGAGCTGCAGTGTGTTTGAGCTGCTGTGCTTCCATTTTGGCTCAGACCAGCAGAAAACAAGCCCGAGATGCACACACACACACACACACACACTCCTGTTCACATGTATGAACACACC